TAGGGATCCGCGAGCCGAGCCAAGACCGGGCCGCGCTGCCCTCCTCCTCCTCTTCTCCTTCCCTCTCCCCCGCCGCCGCCGCCCAGCGCTGCCGCCATGGGCCTCACCATCTCGTCGCTCTTCTCGCGCCTCTTCGGCAAGAAGCAGATGCGCATCCTCATGGGTAAGGGGCGTCGAGGCCCACCAGAACTCCCTCCGCGGCGCCCGGCCCGACCCCCTCCCCTCATTTCTCTCTCCCTTCCTCCCTCACTGGTGCGACCCGACACGGGGGAGGGAGGGAGCTGGGGCCAGTGAAGGGGGGGTCTTTCTCTCTTCTCCCCCCGCCTCCCCCTCCAACCTCGGGCTGCGGGAAGTGCAGGACGGAGGGGCGGGAAGCAGCGGCGGAGGAAGAGAGGGAGCGGAGACGCCTGTCCGCCCTCCTCCTCTGGGTTCTCGTCTTCCTCTCTTCTCTTTCACCCCTTCATCCCGGTACCGGGGCTGCCGGTGGGCTGGGTGGATAGAACCTCCCCTGCTCCTTCCCCTTGCTTTTCTCTGGGGCCGCAGTGGGGCCTGCGCCACTCAGCCCTTTCCCCTCGCACCTGCGCTTCCGCCCGTGTGGAACAAAGATGGGGCCGCGAGAGAGGAGGCCGAGCCGCGCGTCTCCCTCTCGGGGAGCTGCGCGACGCGGCCTGCGGCTAAGCCCCGGAGTCCCCACACGCCGCGTAGTGGCTGGGCTGAGCAGCTGGGGTGACCGCCCGCTCTGGCAGGGATAGCGGCCCTGCGAGAGAGCATCGCGAAGCAGCCGCCCTGCCTTTCCCTGCTTCTCTATACTAACCCCCCTTTGTCAACACTCGATTGAATTTACTGCCTTCACATCGTTATTTGTACAGTATTAGATCCTACTTCTTTTCTTTCCAAGTGAGTTGTGCAATGCGTGCAGCTAATGGCTCCTTAAGGTGCTCCCTCTAAAACGGTAGTTCAAAAGGTCAGAGCCAGCACCCTGCATTCCCTGTTTCCTCCTTGACTTGAGTTTGTCCTGCCCCTTTCCACGCCACTGACACGTGCTTGCAAATCTTACACCTCCAGTTTTTCTCAAATTCTCTTACCAAAGTGAATGGATCTTCATGTCTGGCAGTGGACTGAAACAGTTTGCTGTAAGAAATTATGTGAAATGCTTGTTTCGCTAAAGCCAGCTTTGTGCTGTATGTATGATCTCAGCTATGAAACTTTGTGGCACGCTAGCTCATCCCTACCGCTGCTGGGGTGTGCACAGCATGCACCAAATATGGTGCTTAAAAAAACTGCATTTTTAATATTTGCATGCATTCTGTAATGATCAAGTCTTTTATTAAATTCCTGGGTATTTCTGTCTTTAAGACAGCTTAGTACACCTATTAATCGAAGGAAGTTATTCGACTGTCTGCATAGCAGTTGGCTCTTCATTACTGTAAATGAGTAATAGGTAACCTTCAAATGAATTGACTGCAAGATGAGATGGTGTCTATGGTTATTGTAATTCTGTTATATTCTGCAAAATAATGAAAATAGGCAAGCAATGTTATACAGATTAAAATTGCTTTAGTTCCATCACTGGTGGGCAGTTAGTTCAAATCCATGTTAGATA